TGAACGCACGCCTGTGGTGTGCGTTTAGATGATTGAACAGACCCCTGAGGGTCGTTCTTTGTTTGAACGTATACTTGTGATGTGCGTTTGGTTGATAACCCAGACCCCTGGAGGTCAGGTTTTGATTGAACGCACGGCGTGCGTTTAAATGATTGAACGTGCTTTTGAGAGTCACGTTTTGGGACGCACTCTTGAGGTGTGCATCTATGTTGAACAACGCGCCACTGCGGGTCGCGTTTGAGTTGGATAACCCGAGGCTCATAGTCGGGTTCGTTACCACGAAGTGTGCGTTCTGGAGCAGAAACGCACAATTCGGGCGCAAGATCAGAAACGCAGTCTTTGCGTTGGGCCGTAGTTCGGCTGTTCCGTAAGTATGCTCGCCGTAAGGATCTTCTCCTTCGTCGAGCAGCATTTTTCTTGGCCTGTTTCAAGGCCTTGGCCGCGGCATCGTCGGCGTTGGTTGGGCTTTCCTCCGACATAGGTCTCTTTTGACCTATTATGTGCCGTAATGATACGGGGGAGGAGTCTTCAACTCGCAGAGCGAGTTTTAGGTCTTGGCCAAAGGAGAGGGCTTTCTTTGGCATCTCAGCAGTAGTGTTGACCTCCGTAGAGGTCCTGTGGGTATCACGCCTAGCTTTTGGGCTAAGGGACCCAGAGGAGAGGACCTCCTCATACTTGGCTTGGTCGAACTCTACGACGAGAGTTTCGACGGTGGTTCCAGCGAGGTGAACGTCAGATTGCGCCACCACTTCCTCGTCAGAGAAGCTAGTCCCCAGCGGAGTCGCCATCTTTTGTTGGTAGGAAATTTGAAGTAAAAAGACAATGAAAGAAAATTTGACTTGTATTCCCTCAAAATCAATTACAATTTGGATTCCGATTACAAAAGAGAAGAGAATGGATTTGATTCTCTCCTTTGTTTAAGACTGGGTTCTTCTTGGTAGCGATGGAGTGCTTCCTTCGATTGATCGCGTCGAACTTGCTCTCCGTTGACGATCCGACCGTCCTTCTTCACTGGAATAACTGAAGTGTTTGATGACTTCGGTTTAGAACTCTTGACGAGTGTTGAAGAACTCTGAACGAGTTAAGAACTCTGATAAGAGTTGTTGAAAACCGAATGTCTGGTTTGATGTGATTAACTTGCGTTACAAGCTAATTAAAAACTCTTAACGAGTTTAAGAACTCAGAATGAGTTAAAACTCTAAAACAGAGTTGTTGGAACCGAAAATTCGGTTAATTGCCAAGTGGATGATACCTTTGATGAAAGGATCCTTCGGGATTTGATTAACTGATCGTTGATCAGTTCCTTGATCTCCCGAAGATCTCTTCCTTCCGATTACTCAACTGCCGAGATTTGTTGACCTTGGGTGGTTTTGATACCAGCTCCCCTCAACTCTTTGCGGTTTTGATCTCAGAAACCGATTGATCAACCTATCAACCCGCCAACCCCTTACTCAGTTGAGTAAGTTGGTTATTTATAGGGTGATGTGGAGTGCAACCAACCCCTATTTCCGCTCCTTTGTGGGCGAGAATCCCTCAGAACGTGGGATAAACGGTTATGAGGCCGTTCAGCTTGCGTTTGAACAAGTCAAAACGCCTCAATTGGCGTTCTGGGCTTTAACTCTGCGCCCAAGGTTTGGGACGCAGAGTTAAATCTCTGTTAGGGATTTGAGACGCACGGGCCTCGTGTGTTCTGAACTTGGAAACGCACAGGCTGCTGGTGCGTTGAAATTTAATTCTGCGTTCAGAGTTCGGGACATAGCTGAGTCTGTTGAATAACGCACGTTATGGGTGCGTTTCGTGATTTAACTCTGCGTTCAGAGTTCGATGTCTGTTGATGAACGCACAGATTGTGTGCGTTTGAGAAACGCAGAAATGAATTTCTGCGTTTGGGAGAACTTGTTGGCTTATAACCTCGTCCACTATAACATTACAAAGGCTATTGTTTATTGATCTTTGCCTGTTATAGGATATGAGAGTCGTCAGATTGTAACTCTCACTGTTGGTTGTGAAGGCCACTGAACAGAGTTTTCATCAGCTGTCGGAAGTGTCGTCGAATTGTAACTCTTCTCGATCCGTGTGAAAAGTCTCCTATTTGCCGTTTTCGATCGTCGGCGTGAAAGCTATTTGATTGTAGCTCTCATTGTTGGAGCTTGACGGGAATCAACATCCATAGTGTCTTCTGGACGAATATTTGCCCACAGCTCTCTACCCAGCAACTCACCAGCTAAGTCCAACCTTTTATTTCTCGGAGATGAGGCCGTGTTTATAGCGGTGGCAGAGTTGCGAATGCAGTGATTGGGGAGTCGTCTGATTGTAACTCCTATTGTCAGGACTTGTTTGGATCAGCTATCCATTGTGATTTTTAGACAGCCTACATACATAAAAGTAGCCGATAACTTGATACTCTAGTATTACTATTAGGGGCTGTTTGGTTGCATACTTTTTGAGGAAACTTTTCTCAAAACATCTGATAATTGCAAATTTTTGATACTCTAGTATTACTATTAGGCTAAATTGCACAAAAATACTATAAAATTTACCATTTTGACAATTAAATACCACAAGTTGTATTTCGATACAAAACAATGCCATAAAGTTTTTAAAATTTGCATGCAACTACTGTAAATCGTGCAAACGTAGAAAACTTCACCCGAATATTTTTCTATTATACTCACGTACTAATTTTGGTAATTTCTAACCATTAATATTTATTAAAAATTCGATTAGAAATATCCCAACTCTGTTTTAAAGTAGAATTAAGATAAGCTTGAAAAAAATTAGTTAATTTAATGGTAAATTTAACAAATATTATTAGTTAAAAAGCTTTAAAATTAGGATGTAAGTATCATAGACAAACATTTGCGTGGAATTTTTCATGTTTACGTGACTGATGATAGCAACATGTAAATTCTAAATTTTGCACTAAAATACAACCTGTAGTATGTAATTTTTAAAACGATATTTTTGTGCAATTTAGCCTTATTATTATTTCTCACGTAACAAATCACAAAGTACTAAGGCCCCGTTTGGTTCCGATTTTTAGATGGGTAAGAGGGGGAAGCTGCAAAAAATATTAGTTTTTTGACATCTTTCCCCTAAAATCGCTTCTAAAGACGATTTTAGGAGAAAACTGTCAAAAATAACTAACATTTTTTACAACGTTCCCCTTTTTACCCATCCAAAAAGCCTATCCAAACAGCCCCTAACTGACTGCGTCACGCATGACAAACTCAGCAACCTCAACTACATCATTAACCACATAAACATGCGTCACGTGTGCATTAACTTGTGTATTAATTATTTTATTATTATTCTTGGCAACTTATGGCCCAAGACTCGCGGAAAAGATGTCCACAACCTTGAGCCCACAGACGTATTAACCCAAGTTACACGTGTCATTCACCAGTACATATGGCCCACATCTCAACATTGGGTGCAAAAGTGGGTGGCACGCTCAAATAGTTGGGTTGTCATAATTGAGGGGTTTAAAGCAGAGGATCCTATTCTGTTCTGTAATCTTCTAGGTGAAATTTTGTCCCTTTTTATGTCCCAAAATATTAACAAAAAATCGTGGATGAAAAAGACCAGCTAGGGTTTCGAAGCCACCAAGCTTCGATCCAGGTAAACTGAAATTTCTACAAAAATCCCTAAAATTTTCATTATTTTTTGGATCAAATCAGCTGATATCAATCTTTTTTTTCCCTCGGATTCTAGGGTTTCCGTTGGTCCTTTTCGATCCAATTCGAGAAATCGAAGTTGGGTTTGTGAAGCTTGGGGAAATAGCCCAAATTTCAGTTTTTAGGTTTCTAGGGGAAGAGTTAGGGTTAGGGTTTGTGAAAAGATGAGATCATCTTTGGTGGTTTAGGGGAGCTACGGAGTGACTGTGTCCATGCCGACCTTCACTGCGATTGCCCTGGATAGTCTATTGGAGCAGGGATCTAGAAACCCTAACCCTAAGCCACCGCCGGCTCCGGCGAGGGTTCAGAGGCAACTCAGTGCACCCCCAAATCCAGTTTCTGAGAAGAAGACGATCCCTTCTCGGCCTTCTCACGCCGTTTCCCCAACCCTTTACACAACCCCGGAAGTAACCCCGCTGCCCGATTCCCCTTCGTCGTTCCCGCCTTCGCCTTACATTATCAACCACAAGCGCCGTGGGCCCCGGCTCCTCAAGAGCTTCTCCCAAAGTGATGTCTTAGGCGATGAATCCAAAGCCACCAATCTTGAACGCAAGGTTGAAGCCCCAACTGTAAGCTCTGGGGACGGAGGAGAATCTAAAATTGGGAATTTGGAAGTAGTCATGGGGAATGGAGAGCATGTCAATTTGGAAAATGGGGTCAACGGAGGAGAGAAAGAGCAGATGAGTTTGGTTGTGGAAGTTGAAAGAGATGCGGAGTTGGATGAATTCGTTGATTTTCTAGATTCGATGAGTACATCGAGTAATGCCGAGATGGATGAAGGCAGTTTGGGAGAGCGCTCATGGAAGCCAGGTACTCCTGTTGGGGAGTATTATGATGCATTTGAAGGTATATTTCCTTATGATTATTAGCTTTTTGTTTTATTTGTACGTTTTGTTCCATGATTCATAGTTATGTGAAAGTATGCAGCTTTATTTGATTTTAATTTTTGATTCTGTACAATATAGTTGATGGCAAATTCTAAAGAGTTTTTATCCTTAATAGTTGAAGCTTTGTCAACTTTTAAAAATTTTCAACTAACTGATGTAACTTTGAAAAAGAGGGGGAAAAAAGGAAAAAATGAACCACTTGACCTTGAGCACTGGTGAAGCTTAAAATTTTAAGAAATTACTCTTTTTAATAATAATAGTTTACCATGAGTGTGTCAATATATGTGCATGACATAAAATTTGTACTAAGCAATTGTAAAAGGTTCGATATGTATGTTATTGAACTCTTCTGCGTTGCCTAGAAGCCTTGAGAAGGTGCAAGGTAATTCATTCGTAGGGATCCATGATAGTTTGTTTCTGAAACGCTTTTGAGGAAATTTCATTTGTCTAGCAGTTTTAACATTTCAATATACTAATGGCAAGTATAACGACAGTTTTACAGAAGATTCTTCTATGGTACATGTAAGTTGATGCTGAATTTATGTGAAAACCAATAAACCATTCAACTTTTTTATTAGTTGACATAACATTTCGCAATTGTAAGCAATCTACAAGGGCTTTTTGGATCTTCATGCTATATAGTATATACTTCATAACTTCAAAAAATTCTATGGACATATAGTGTTATAGTTCTTCCTAGTAACGTTCAGGAATCATGTTCACTTTATTCGGTCCTTTATGTAGAGATCTCCAGTGATGGCACAAGATCATCATGTCGAAATGTCATAGAAGATGAACTACGTGAGATGAGGCTCAATCTTTTAATGGAAATTGAGAAGAGGAAGCAAGCAGAGGAAGCCCTTGAGAACTTGCAAAGCCAGTGGCAGAATCTTAGACAGCATCTATCACTTGTGGGTTTGACACTTCCTACCCTCCCAGCGATCACAGATGAGACTGTAGAACAACCAAATCTTGATCCTGCAGAGGGGTTATGCCAGCAAATTGTCATTGCTCGCACTGTGGCTAGTTCTATTGGGAGGGCATGTTCGCGGGCAGAGGTCGAGATGGAGGTGGAACCACAAATTGAGGCTAAGAATTTTGAGATTGCCAGGCTTTCAGATCGTCTACAGTACTATGAAGCTGCAAACAGGGAGATGTCACAAAGAAACCAGGAAGCCATGGGTGAGAATGTTGAACTTGTTCTATTATAATTTTTGCACGTATACAATGCTCATGCCTGCCTCATTTTCCGGTTTATATTCTCATTTTTCTTGATCATGACAACTATATTTCTTCTACTTTCTTTTACTACGTTTGTCATATTTTCTTATGGGAAAAAGCAAGATATGCCATCTTTTTGGTTTTTATGCATGAGCATGAACTTGACGGTCATATATATTGAGAAAGGGGTGTTGTTTCCTATTATGAAAAAGTTTAAATGCTATTGTTTTAAATGTCCCTGGCATGGCCCGATATATCAGCCGATATATCCTTTTGTAATGCTTGCCGCTAAAAGACATGGTTTAAATATCCTTTATCGCTTTTTGGCATTTTTGGGCGATATATCCCTGACATGGCCTATATATTAGCTGTTATGTTATGTTGGCTGATATTGTCCTTTTTTATGGCTTTGTCGCAAAATTATATACAACTTTTGGCAATTTTTAGGCAACATATCATGACTTTCCCAATATATCAAGTGACATTGCGGCCTCAAAAAAATCTACCGTAATGTTGCAATGTCGATTTAGACTTCTAATTTATTTTAGAAGGTTGATTGGTGGTCTAAACATATATTATTTAAATGGCTATATTTTATTAAGTATATTTAGATTGTGTTTTAGATATCTACAATCCGATATAAATTTTGGACGTCTGATATTTTCCCGATATCCGATATTATCTACAATCCGATATAAATTTTGGACGTCTGATATTTTCCCGATATCCGATATTATCTACAATCCGATATAAATTTTGGACGTCTGATATTTTCCCGATATCCGATATTATCTACAATCCGATATAAATTTTGGACGTCTGATATTTTCCCGATATCCGATATTATCTACAATCCGATATAAATTTTGGACGTCTGATATTTTCCCGATATCCGATATTATCTACAATCCGATATAAATTTTGGACGTCTGATATTTTCCCGATATCCGATATTATCTACAATCCGATATAAATTTTGGACGTCTGATATTTTCCCGATATCCGATATTATCTACAATCCGATATAAATTTTGGACGTCTGATATTTTCCCGATATCCGATATTATCTACAATCCGATATAAATTTTGGACGTCTGATATTTTCCCGATATCCGATATTATCTACAATCCGATATAAATTTTGGACGTCTGATATTTTCCCGATATCCGATATTATCTACAATCCGATATAAATTTTGGACGTCTGATATTTTCCCGATATCCGATATTATCTACAATCCGATATAAATTTTGGACGTCTGATATTTTCCCGATATCCGATATTTAAAACCTTTCCCACGGAATAAGTCCCAGACTCTAAATTTATATAAGCAGCTAGAGAAAGAAGGCGCTAAAAGTCTACAACAAGAAGTGGAAGCACAAAATCCAACCACAACATGGACCACTCAGACCTGCTGTGATATATCATATATGACATCTATATCTGGATTTTCCTCCTCATCTGTCTGATCCTCTCGGAGTATGATGCGAGTATGTGGCATAGCCTAAAGGAGATGTTTGTGGATCTCAAGTTGCTCTTGATGCCGATGAAGCTCAAAAAGATATAAAGTAGGAGATTGATCTTTGATCAATCAGCATTCTCTGACCTTCAATCTGGTTCTGAAAACATATAGCATTCACATCCAGCTGTATGGTTCTAATGGCTACAATAGTCATTACTCATGCCAGTTTATCTACTCTCCTGTTTCTCTAGGGCCTCTTGCATCGTCTCTTCTTAGCATTATCTCTTATAAGAAAGTAGGATGCTAATCAAACTAGAAGAGGAATTGCTATAATGTCCTAATTCTGTCACGTTTAAACATCAGCTGTGATGTTTTGGAGCACTTGCCCATGCACCATCTATCATTTGTATCCTAATGTCACTTCAAAAACTTCTTCGTGAGAATGGCATATTTAGAACCAGTAATAAGAACTGGTGGCACCTTGTCTGAAAGGAAATGTTTTTTTTAAGCGAATATATGATTTCTTTTATCCATAGGATGGGATAGGATAAAGACGGTAGTTTGTTTAAATTAGTATGTGAGGTCATTTAATCCAAAAACCAAAGCCATCCTGAATTCAATTGGTCGTTCTAAACTCCTTAAGACGCATCCTTTAAGTATCCATTAGTACTTTATGTAACCCAACATGGACATTTTAATTTAACTCACAATTCCTATACTTTTCAAATAATGCTCCATCAGCTATTCTTAGTCAACCACATCACTAACCTTCTCATATTGACATATAAATACATTATGAGGTTATTGTGGACTAATTGAAGCATATTCCATACTATTGAGTGCATCTAATACTTTGCTCTTATATCAGAGATGGCACGACAACAGCGTCACCGGAGGAAGAGAAGGCAGAGATGGATATTGGGCTCAATTGGTGTCGCTGTAACTCTTGGAGCAGCAGCAATTGCATGGTCTTATACTCCTGCTTCAAAGCCCTCACCCCATGAAGGTGAAAGCCATGGAGATTAAATTCTAGTACTTATCCTAGTGAGTATCCATCCTTAATAATATCAAGGGATATATCCCACTAGCTTAGACATCCATAACACATGCGAGGTTGCTCAACTGACTGGCGATCTGCTATACAAAATTTCTCCCCTTTTCAAAATTTACCCCCCATGTATAAATTGGCCTTCTTACGAGGGCTTCTCCCCTCTAATTTTGTTGGTTATGCAAATAACACTATGGAGGAAACTACAGTTTTCCTGTTGTTTTTACATTGTGATATCTACGCTCTGGTGAATTTTGGCAACAGGTGAGTGAATTTTGGATGACATTTTGTTCTGTGACGGTCATGTATGATGAAGCCAACTGCATTTGTATTGTTTATTTATTATTTGATCTAGAAAACAAGGGCAATCTTCCAGCGCAAGTTCCATCTTTATCTTCTTGAAGCTCTAACCAGAGAGAATTTAATGCCTTCATATGATTGCCTCATCTCTGATGACTGCGTTCTTATGAACTACAGTAATGCCACATCAAATGTAGAACCCTTCTTGAGGCCCATCAGCTTCTTGAACTCCCTGATAAAAAAAACAATAATAAGTTTAATAGGCTATTTTACCTGCAAACTAATAAGTACCTCATAAGAAGGTTTACTTGTGGCTCTGAACAGTAATAAGGATTCAAAAAGTCAAGCACAGTTATTGATGTGGAGGGCATTTGTCGCAAAGAGTAAGGGGCTGTTTGGTTGTTGTTGGTAAAGTTGTGTATTTATGACAATGACACAACTTGGAAAGTTGTTGTCCACCTCATCAATTTCACTTTTATATTTTTCTTTGTTTGTTTTTTATTCCATTGGAATCATAAAACACTTGTTTGGTTTGCAAAATAAAACTTTAATTGTTTGTTTGGAAAGTGTAAAAAATGATCCCTACTCAAATGATCATATTGGTTGGAATTATTTTTTACCAACTTCAATGTTAGCTTTCTCCTAAAATCATGTCTTTTTTTTATGAAATCAATTTACAAGCCACATCAGCATATGAAATCACTTTACATTATTTTCACAACTACAAACAAACAATTGAAAGTATATGAAATCACTTTACATTATTTTCACAACTACAAACAAACAATTGAAAGTGATGAAAGCTGACATTGAGACCCACTTTTTTACACTTTACATCCTTTTACATGGTAAAAACATACAACCAAACAGCCACTAAAGGTTCTGCAGGAGTAATTCCTGTATCATATCAAAGTTTCTTGTGGCTCTGAACTTTGTTAAACTCACGGGGTTATCTATGTTCAACCAGTAGAACTAAACCATAAAAGTCTTTTTTTAAAGTCCGTCAACAGAATATATTTTATCATTTTTAGTTTTGGAAAATATGAAAAGAACCCCATTTTAAACTCACCTTCAGTTCTACTCCAAATTCAAGACGTGAGCTACATTCATGCAAGAAGAACCCATTGAGATAATTGCGTCGGCAAGCTGCAAGAAATAATTTAAGCTATAAGATAGTAAAAAAGTTGCGTAAAAAAAAATGCTTAATATATGATATATGTTTGCGCATTTAGCATACCCGGAAATTTTAAACTTTTGTAGGGGGTAAATATCTGAACTTTGGAGGCTGCACCAGAGAAACAGAAAAAAAAATACAAATCAATCATGGATCATCCGAACTAGGGAAAAAATGGCACCAAAATTAAATTGTTACACACCAAAATTCAAAGGAAAAAAATTGTTATTAGTTATTTTGTCACCATATAATCTATTTTGGGAGAGAAAATTCTCTCTATATAGATGCAACTAACCTGCTCGGTGAGAGCCAAATTTGCATTGAAGAATTACTTGATTGTCCCGATGTCTTCCCAATAATCATTAAATAAATACGCCTGCCAAGAGATTAAGACATTCAGACATTCAGTAACTTGAACTCGGATTCTCTCCACTACAAAAAAAATAGTGGAGGGACCACTACATAATCACAGCCATTGATTATCTAGTTGATGGTTATGATTTTTTCTTTTAGTGCAAATTAGGAATGAGTGCAATATACGGGGGTATGGTAAGTGTTAGATTTAGATTGTATCATAACCGCCTACTAAATAATCAATGCTTGAGATTAAAAGTAGTGGTCTCTCCACTACTTTTTTGTAGTGGAGAGGATCCAAATCCGTGGCTTTATCCTAACTTTAAATGATATTAATCCACTTTGAGTAATAGAATACAACAATGGATGTGCTCCTAGATTATTTATTAACCTGGACATTATGATCCATTACTGCTGAAGGTATAATTTCTGATCCAAAACCATTGGATGTAGGATACCTCCACCTGAATAAGAAAAGAAGAGAAAAATGAATAAATAAATAAATAAAAGGGCTAATTTTAGGAAAACCCCTCAACTATAAGGGTTGTCTAAGAAAAAAACCCAAATAACTAATAACAATTTTTTTCCTTTGAATTTTGGTGTCTAACAATTTAATTTTGGTGCCATTTTTTCCCTAGTTCGGATGATCCATGATTGATTTGTATTTTTTTCTGTTTCTCTGGTGCAGCCTCCAAAGTTCAGATATTTACCCCCTACAAAAGTTTAAAATTTCAGATATTAACTTTAGAAAACCCCCTTCAGATATTAACTTTAGAAAACCCCCCTCAATTATGGTGTTGTTGTGGATTACCCCCTTAACTTTTAAAATATGATTTATTCCCTCACATGTTTTCTCACGTAACCCCCTAAACTAATATAATTAATATCTAAAAGAACCAATGATTTAAATGACCATACTATCACTAAGATATTAAATTCTTTACTGCACCGTGCCTTTTTAACTTTTTGGTTAAAAATAACTTTCATTTTATTTTCCCTGTTTTCTTATTCCTCCTTCATTGCTAGGTTCATGTACAAATCTAAGTTTTTTCTTTTTGTTTTGAAATACTAAACTTCTTTTATTTTCCACTTATCTATGCTTGTAATGTTTGAAACAATTGAAACTTTAGATTTTTACTTTTTAGAAGAATAGTTTCCTCATCAAAACTCATCGAACTGAAGCCTAATATTTTGATTTGGTTGGGTCTTTAAATACACATGAATTTTTTTCAACCATGCGTATCTTAGTCATTGCATATTTCAAATTAATAATATTAGGTGGGTTATTTGGCAAAAAAAGAAAGAAAGATAAAGGGGTTTATGAGGCACCCCTACCATAGTTAAGAGGGCTTTAGTCATATTTTGAAAGTTGGGGGTTATCTATAACACCCTCAAAGTTGAGGGGGTTATCTATAGTTAAAATAGCTGAGGCGAGTTTTCTAAGACAAGCTCCACACTTAAGGGTGGTTTTCTAAAATTAACCCAAAATAAAAATAACAATGCAGTCCATTAAATAAACATGGGTAAATTGCTGATAGACACCGTACTATCAACCAAATGCAGATAGAACCCATGAGTGAATCTTTCTTACTCTTTTACTCTCACGAAGTTTATTTGTCACCACTAAAAAAAATCTCTTTACTTGAGGGTAAAAGAGTCAAAACTTTCACTCAGGTAGTCTATCTACAACAATGGAACTACTGTGAACGCGTTTTCACATGTCTCGTGGGCCCACACCCACGTTTAGCATCAATAGGCAACAGACTCAATGCGTGGGGGGCCACAGGCTTGTGTGATGCGGTTTTTTTCTTTCTTGGACGTGGTGTTGGCCCACCCGATAGCCAAGTTAATAAAGGCTAGGGTTTTCTGCAGTTCGACTGTGCAAGGAGCAAAGAGGAAAATTGAAAGCGGCAGCGAGCAAGGGGACTTTGTGCGACTGCAGGAGAAAAACCGCAGGCACGTGTTTTCTTAGGGGTTGTCTTTTGTTTTGAGAGAGATAATTGTGTGAGAGGTTTGAGAGATTGTGTGAGGGTTTAGATTGAGTGATTGTAAACCCTAGTTGTATTCTCTCCTCTCTAATAGTAGATCTCCCCCCTCCTTGCCCCGTGGACGTAGACAGTTTGCCGAACCACGTAAAATTAGTTTGTTTGAGTTTGTGGCCATTGTAATAGTTTTTAGGATCCCTCGACGCGCAGTCCTAGAGCTGACGAGAGGAAGAGCAAATATCCCACTTTGATGGGATATTAGGCTTTCAGATTCTTGTTCCCTTTGAGAAACAAGAATTCTTATCGATCTTTCTCTCTTATTGTGCACCAGAAATTTTGCCGAAATTTTCGTTGAGCCCAGATTCCAGATCTAGGGTTTGGTTGGAGGAGTAGATCAATTTGGAGGCCCGTTTAGGACTTCGTTGGTGATAAAGGTGAGATCTTTTGGTAAAGACTCTATCTTTCAGTTTTGGATCTATTCTTTGTTCGTTGGTGCGTAAGATGTCGGGGAAAGAAGGTGCTTCGGGAGTCGAGGGTGGTTCTTCTGAAAGAAGGTGCTTCGGGAGTCGAGGGTGATTCTTCTGGCGTGAAGACTATTCAGAGTTTGAATATCCACTCTATGAAGATAGATGTGGAGAAATTTAATGGCACAAACAATTTTGGATTATGGAGATGCGAGGTTTTGGATGCGCTGAACGCGCAGAATTTGGAGGATACATTGGAGTTAGATGGCAAGCCAGATGAGATTGAAGAGAAGGTTTGGAAGAAGATGAATCGAACGGCGTGTGGTGTGATTAGGTCTTGTTTGACTCAAGATCTAAAATATGATGTGATGAATGAGACTTCTGCGAAGAAGATTTGGGAGATTCTCGAAAGCAAGTATTTGACCAAGAGTGTGAAAAATCGCTTGCATTTGAAGAGGAGACTTTATCGTTTCCAGTTGAAGAAGGGAACCTCCATTAGAGATCACATGAACCACTACACAAAACTTATTGCGGATTTGGCGAATGTGGATGTCAAGATTGAAGATGAGGACAAGGCGTTGCTGTTGTTGAGTTCCTTGCCCGACGAGGAATATGGGACCTTCGTTCTTACTCTGATTAATGGGAAGACATCACTTTCGTATAGTGAGGTCACCGCTGCACTTGTGAATTATCAGCTTCGAAAGAAGGATAAGGAGGCTTCGGTTGAGCCGGTAGCGGAGGCGTTGGTCGCAAGAGGGAAGGGTCCAAACCGAAAGAATTGGAAGTCACAGTCTAGAGTAGGAAAAGATCAGTGTGCTTGGTGCAAGGAGACTGGTCATTGGAAGAAAGACTGCCCAAAGCTCGACGAATGGATGAAGAATAAGCAGAAGGGAAAAGGGAAGCAACCATCATCAGAAGCAAACATCGTATCGGATGGTAATAATTCTGACTCTTCTATTTATTCGCTTTCTATCAGTCCTACAGATAGCTATTCGGAGGAATCTGAATGGATGTTGGATAGTGGTGCGACCTATCATGTGTGCCCTAGAAGGGAATGGTTCTCCAGTTTTGAGAAGCTGGTGGATAGTGGTGTGGTGT